TTGATATCTTCCAACTACTGTTGAGATTTCACGCACAGGGAATTTTTTTTTCGACTAGAATATCAAGAAAGAGCAACTTATGAATATATTAGATCATCAGCAATGATTTAGCGATCAATTTATTGATTCCATTCGCTTCTTCGCGCCATTTCATGTGTCTCTAATTAGAGGGAAAGACTTGCTTTCCATTTGTGAAATTCCCATGCATGAGAATTCCGTCACACTTCCAGAGTCGCCGTGACGAAATTCAGCGCGATTCAGGACAATTCAGTGCAATTGCAGCCCTTAAACCGAATCCTTAAACCAAAGAGAAAAATTGTTCCAAAATTTTTCCAGTTCATATTTTGTCTGAATATTAAAAGGAAGCATTTTATTGCTAAGATCATATTGTATCGAAAGCCTCCAGATGAGCCAAGAAAAGGCGACCAGAAGAAGAAAATAACCTCAGTAGGTTAAATATCGAATTATATTGCAGTCAAATGAAAGTCGCTGCTTCGCTTCTCCTTCTCAATTTCACTTCTGCATCGCCAAATTACTCTGAATCCCTTTTGTCACAAATGCTCTTCAAGAATGTTTGCTCAACTCCTCTTGGTCATCGTGATTTCGTGAGGTTTTTCGAGAAAAAGAAGAACTCCCTCGGCGCGCAATTGTCTTGCCGGACAATCAACCTGAAGACAGAGAGCGGAAACGAAGTCATTCTCTGTCATATTTTACTTCCTTCTGCGTCTGTTTGCCAACAAAATCCCCTCAGGATAATGGCGAGTGGAAAGGATGTGTGGAAAATATTGCAATCATCCGGACAATGAGGACTCTTGAGGGGCGCACAGGGAGGAATTCCCTTAAGTTTCTCTCTCAGATGCACCTCAAGGGACAAATTGGTATTGTGCAATTCATTACCTTCTTCATGGGTTGCCAAAAGGACGCAGATGTCCTTTTCTGCCTCTCAATCGCTCCTTTGTCCCTGGGCCTTCTTCTCCATCGCAACATTTCACTTCTCTCTCTCTCTCTCGCTCGCGCAAATTTTGCGTCTCATGCGGATTTTGAGTGGCGAATGGATGTTTATTTATTGGAATTTAAGGAGATGAAAATTCGTATTGTATCCTCAACCCTCGTGGACAAATAATTTCTTTCGTCAATTCCTCCATTTCTTGCGGCTCCTCTTTCACTCATCCTCCGGCATGGCAGGATAAAGTTTGAAGATTTCCTTCCGAGACTGAGGACTTGTCAAGTGTGTTTGCAAGACAAATTTCTTCTGCAATTTTCCTCCCAATTCATCGTTTCTTTTTTTAGGGGGCATGAAGTAAAGAAAAAAGACGCCCTCGCGTTAAGCAAAAGTATTTCCATCTTTTGAGATCCCCATGAAATTTATTCACCGACAAAAGGGAAGAAAAAAATTTCAACCAAACATTGATGATTTTCAATTCGACTCAAGCTGAAATTATAAATAAACATGGTGAATTTTCCTCATTCAATATATGTCGAATAAATTTTCCCAGAGAAATTACAAGTTGAAGGGAATTTGCAACAATGAAATTTCCATCTTCTTTTGCAAAATGACTCCAAATTTGCCATGAAAATGAAATGCGTTTTAATTGTGAACTGATGAGAAATTGTTGTTTATTATTGCGGCATTTCAATATTTTGTATGAAAATTCTTTCGGCAACCAAAAACTTCCACCGCAAGAGGGAAGATTTTCACCCGCAATGGTGGAAAATTCTATTAGGAAACTTTTCCCCAACATTCTGCATAGACTTTATTATAATTTCATGCTGTTCTTCTCTCCTTTTCTCCCCTTGAACTTCCTCCTTTCTCTTCGCCTTTGTGCAAAAAAGGTGAGGGATTTTGTCGTGAAATGTCTTAAAAATTTCGCAATCCATCACGACGGGAAATCCCCGGAATTGTGGGGCTTTTAGTGTAACAAGCTTTGACCAGGAGCTGCAGCGGAGCTCAAAGGATAGAGTCAGGATCGCGCGATGGCATCCAATTTGACTGCTCCTCGGAATTCTTGCGGTTGAAGCGCTTCCCTGTTGCTATTTATTCAAGACGTGAGCAGCGGAAAAGGAACTCCACTTGGCGTCGTAAAGCACACACGTATTTGGGGTGAATTGATACACATTCATATTCCAACGACGCGAACCAAGGGGCGCACATCTCCTTCTTCATTTCTTAATTTTATGTGACAATGCGCGCTTTGTTTATTGCTCTCATAGATCATCCTAATTGGCGAATACATTAATGAGCGATCACGCTATAAAATAAAACTGCGCGCATTTCTCAAATCTGCCATGTTTTAACGGCCAGCAAATCACTCATTTTCGCAATTTTCCACATAAACACGAGAACGAGCGTCTCGTCGGCGAATTGGCGCTCTGCCAGCAGCTTGCAGCCCCTCGACTGTGTGCCAGAGAGAGAGAGGGAGAGAGATTCTGTTGAGTGTATTGAGAGTCGCGGCAGCGCGAGGAAAAAATTGCATTTCTGCATGACTGAATGGAAATGTATAATTCAGCCGCCCATCGAGTGGGAGGATGTCGTGCAGATGGGTCCCGAAATGTGTGTTTGTATGCATTTAGATGTGAATTATTGAGGCGTAGCATCCCTGTGAGTGTGCTGCCGTATCATATTTTTATGCTACATCACACGGACGTGACGTGTTGAATGTGCAATGGTGAGTTTACTCAGCCACCACTGAGGAATTCTCATTCATATAATATGCAGGGTATTTGAATAAATTTCATATAACAAGCATATTTTGCCATTCGCCGTACATCTTCGCCTCCCTTTCATTTGCAAAACTCCCCACCCGATGCGCGCGTGAGAGGATCTGAGAAAGGATGCGGAGAAGTGCGCCACACTGTCAGAGGAGAGATAAAAGGGCGATTGCGAGGGTGGCAAAAGGAATCGCCCAACGTGGGGCTCGAACCCACGACCCTGAGATTAAGAGTCTCATGCTCTACCGACTGAGCTAGCCGGGCATGCCATTCGAGCCGCGGCGCTATTTTTAGGTCCACGCGCCGCCAAACATGTGACTTGCCAATTGTGCAAAAACTCCACGTCAAGCACATCAGCGGATTATCGCAAGTGAAATGTAAATAAAAGCAAATCACGCTTCATTCTGCCAACTTCACCAGTTTGTACTCAAACTTGCTCAACTTCTGCACTATCAATTACTTCACTTATGCTGAATTCACCTCAAAGTGAGACGTTGAAGGGTGGATAATATGGCTGTAATCTGTACACCACTTTCTGGCACTTCCTAAACTCTCAACTTTCTTCATCGTCTTAAGAGAATTTTAGAAGAAATCACAGGAAAATTGTGATATTTCTATAAAAAAACTACTTTTAATTACTTTTATGGAAAATTTTCTAATCATAATTTATAAGAAACAACATTAAGAGACCTTAACAAATTGCTCAAAACGTTTAAAATGTTCAAATTATATATTTTCAACTGTCGCAATTCTCTTAAAGTCTTGCTTTTATATGTCAATTTTACCTAGAAAATTATTTTGATGAAGTTTTTTGATTTTTTTGAAACACTTTTACTTCTTAAGTTTCTTCTGCTTATCTGTACACGACTTTTGACCTTAATATCTGCCTCTTGGCTTGAGCAAACCACATGAATTCTCAGAGAAATTGACGACAACCTTTCAACCTTTTGCGCGGCTTTTGGCAACTCCATCAAAAGCGTGATGGCTTTAATGGCGTGTCAAAAGGATTAGAATTTATACGGTTTGCCGAGATTCCGACGGCAAATGTCTCGGAAAATTCTAATAGCCATAAAACAGTGAGGCCCAACCATACCTAGCGATTAATGACCCACTGGAAATAATTAAGGCACACTTGAGCTATAAAATGAATTAATTTCAACACTCGAGAGCGAGAATTCCATGATTTTATGCACCAGTGAAATGATTAAAAACAGACTTTGAGGAATGCACGGAATCCACCCATGGAAGATCACATTGTTCCCAATTTTTCTCGAGGGCGCAGCGCCCTTTCCATCTCATTTTTTTCTTTTGCGTGTGCGTTCGAAATCCCTAAAGAATTGAGCTGAACAGCGCCGAGAGAATTGATGAATTGAACACTGACAGTTATTGGTATTGAGCACTTCCACGCTAGATTAAATTAAATCTAGGAGGTCAGGAGTTTGGGGGGTTGCAAAGTTGCGGGAGAATTTGAGGAATTCTCCACTCTGCACACAATTCTAATGCGAAATTCCGCGCAGTGTGTTGAGATGAGAATGCTTTTTGCCGGCGTGCCATCGATGAGCCATTTAGCAAAATATGGCTGACGAGTATATTAAATGGGAATGACTTGACGAAAAAACAAGTCGATGGAATTCACGAAATGCAGAGAGAGAGAGAGAGATGAACAAGAGTGAAAAAGTTCCAGAGACTTTCCCACCCACATTGTTTCCTCCGCGACACACGCGGGTTTGTTCTGACGATGTTATTTCGCTACTGCATGGATAATATATGTAGAGCCCAAAGGGGCGGGAAATTGTCGAGAATCAGGCACTTAAATTATTGATATGGTGTGTGAAAAAATGCAAGCGATCAATTTATTGATTCCATTCGCTTCTTCGCGCCACTTCATGTGTCTCTAATTAGAGGGAAAGACTTGCTTTCCATTTGTGAAATTCCCATGCATGAGAATTCCATCACACTTCCAGAGTCGCCGTGACGAAATTCAGCGCGATTCAGGACAATTCAGTGCCAGGATTCAGTGCAATTGCAGCCCTTAAACCGAATCGACGTCCTTCGCGCACTTTGCCATGAAGTTATCTGAGCAATTTGAGTTGTTCTGTGGTGAAAAGCCATCAATTGACTTCATAATTTCATTGGCAACTTTCAGTGTCTCAACCGGATCGCTGAAGAATCGCGTCTTGATAGTTTTCGCGGGACTTCTTGATCTCACGACAGTGTTTTTAACATTTATGCACTTCATTGAGGAATTCTCTACTGATTTCAACTTGAATATCGTCTTAACAACTCTGGCTATGACGGGATTTCTTCAATTGCTCTCAAAAATCGTCTTTGGCGCTCTTGAGCGCGAAGCCTTCGTTGAACTGATGAAGTGGATCGAATCTCTCTATCGAGAGCAAGAATCCGATCCTCAGCTCAGGTTTATCCTGGAAAAGCACCTGATTTGGGCAATGAAACTATGGAAAATCCTCAACAAGTTAGTATTTGTCATTTTACTTGTCATTTCAACTCACAGAACATTATAAGAACAAAGTTTTTGAATTTTTTTCAGGTGGTTGCGAATTGTGTACTTCGTTTTGGCCCTCTTAAGTGCTGTTTGCATGAGACCCAATTCGACTGCTGGTCTTGTTGTGAAAATACCTTTTCTGGGCGATCAAAGTGAAATTTCGTACATTTTGCAAATCATTCTCTTCTCCATGATCGGATTGTTGCTATTTGTCGTTGACTTTGCAATATTCTTCGTCGGTTTCCACATTATGGTGGCTCTGAATATTCTCAACGACTTCATCAAGATTCTACATGAGAAAATTGTGGAAATTCCCCATTTTCTCAGCATCGTCGTGAAGCGTCATTGCGACATAATTCAGAGCATCGATTTGCTGAACAAAATCATCGAGAAAATATCATTTGTGCAGATTCTGACAAGCGTCACTCTTTTGATCACCTTGTTCGCCTCAATGAGAACAGAAAGATTCCAAGTCCTCAGCTATATCCTGTGCCTGTTCGTGATGGGACAAACGCTGGTCTTCTGCGTCTTTGGCGAGTTCATCAAGCACAAGACTGAGCGACTTTCCACGACTCTCTACTTGACAAACTGGTACGAATTGAGCCTGAGGGATCAGAAGACTTTCCTGCTCATCCTCAGAATGTCTCAGCGCGAGTACGGATTGAAGGCCGCCGGAATGTACGAGCTCAACATTTATCTCTTCATTCAGGTGAAATTTTGTGTGAAAATGCAATTGAATAACTAATTTTGAACTTCTTCCAGATCATCAAAGTCGCATTTTCCTACTGCGCCATTCTGTACGCTTTGAGCGAGTGAAATATCGCTGATTTTCTCAGATAATTCAATGTCTTTAATGTATTTTTGCACATGATTAGAAGCAGACGATAATAAAGTGACTCACGTGGCGCACTTGTCAGCCCCTCGACACCGAGGGTGTTGGGAAAGATGATGGGTTTCCGTATCGCCTGCAGAACCACCCGAGAGTCTCACCCAGTCTCTTGAGATTCCGCCGTCGTGGAAGTTTTGCGGGAAACATGAACTGCTGCTTTCTCTCTTTGCGGCTCAAAGATGAAAAACACAATTTCCGCTGTGTACCCAATTTTCCACCGCATAATAGATAACAAATTGAACAATTTCGCAAACTAAAATAATATTTTATATAAATATCCAAAGTGGGTGTCTTCCAGCGCAATCTTGCTGTGCGTCGGGTGTTTTTTTTATGGAGGGGGTGGTAAATAAAACATGACACGCGAGGATTTATTTATCATCCAATAAGGGCGCGCACTGCATTGCCAGATGGAAGTTCTGCTCCCGCGGGATCTCGAGCTGGATGCGAAGGAGTCTAATGGTGATTGACAGCGAGAGTCATCGCAACGGGGGTGGCGAGGCAGGACTCAATTCCCCGAGCAGGCGCTGCGACGATGGCAATCTCTGGCAAAAGTCCTGGCGTGCGATTAACACAAACACTCGATTGGGCGATATCGAATTGAGCGACGCTCTTTTCCCTGGGAAAATTGACACGCTGATAAACAAGAGTGAAACATACTGGTGGCGCAGGAAATCTCAGACTGGTCAGAATGCTGGCGAAACATTTTCATAAATTGCCCAGGCGTCCCTTCTCCTCTCTCGCCCTCTCCATGTGATTATGATTTATGCTTCTGCCCTGACAATGGGAACATTTTGCCGCGCGTCTCTTCATTCTGCTGCGCCTTTGACAAACTGTGCAGAGCCGAAAAGTGAAGAAGAGAGCGAGAGAGATCAAAGAGATCGCAAGATCCGCACCTTTCAGAGACCAAAAATTGAGATTTTCAGCCCATATTTCGGTAAAGCCCGAGAGATAATCCTGCCAGAGATATCTTGATAAATTCATCGTGATAACATGTTACACGAATTTTGGAGCCAGAAAAACAGTGAGAAAAGACGCGTAAAGACGGTCACTCAAGCACTTTGTTTACATAAACTTTTCCATCTCAATACATCTCAAGAGCACACGAGAAAGCATATTTTCTCCCCGTTGGATATTCAAAGTGATATCCATCATTTGCAGTCATTGAACTTGTGCATTTGGAGCAAAACTGGGAGAGACATTCTGAGGGTGTGAAAAGTTTGTGCAGCAAAACAGCCATTATTGTGATAAAGTTAATAAAGTGTCTGCTTTTTTTATCTGCCACCCATAAATAAAGACAGTCTCAGGCCAAATGTGTGAAGTGTCACTGGTGACTTTTCCAGGAGGGAAAATTGCTATTTTTGTGACAAAAATTATATTCCAGAGATTGAATTCGGCGTCAAAACAACGACTAAAATACACTCATGAAACATAATACGTCTTGGCGTCTTAATCTTATGCTTCGCATCGATCAGACGACGATGATGAGTGAAATGACAATGTGTTTTGGGCATTATTAGGCATTAGGAAGGTATGAAATTTTTATTACCAGCAGACCAAATTCTGATCTCAGGAACAATAGAAAATAATAATCCAAGATTATGTCTGGAAATGTCTTCAATTTACCGGCAAATCCTTCTTAGATTATGTGCTTTAAGTGCCAAAGGAAAGTCACTAGTGAATTCAGATCTATTCTTTTGAATTTGAATGTTGTTTAATATTTTATTCACACTCATTTGCACTAAAAATTTCATTCTATGTGAGTTTTAGTGGATAATTATAATGAAAAAAAAAGACTAGCGTCTCTTTGCTTAGTTATTTTCGCGGTTTGTTCTTTATTTACTCATTTCTAGGTTTGAAAGGATACAAATTAGTCCAAGAAGGATTTTTTTTAGCAGAATCCATAACCTCACAATTTGAAAAAGACTGCAATAAGTCAGAATTGAGTGTGAGAATCAGTTGAAGGAGTCTGAAGAGCGATTCAAAATACCCTGAAAGTGTCTGAAGTGTTAAAGATTCTGCACAGAAACTTGACTTGATTGAGATTCCTCAACATTTGGTTTCTCACTTTTCCCTTATTTAAGCTTTTCGAGTGGTAATCACACGAAGAATTGCTGCATTTGAGAGTTAATCACATCGTTGTGAGTGGAAGCAAAGAGGATTTGATTCTGTGTATAGTTAATATTGTAATATTTCCCATATAAGTCCAATTACGAGGATTTACTCGTTCACAGCATCACTCAATGGGGAAGATTGAGGGCATTTCGGGAGAACGAGAAAATGCAACTAAATACTCTTCCCAAACTATCGACCGAATCCACTGACCAAAGTCTGGTGGTGTGTTGGAAGTCAACCGCATTTTGGGCAACTGAGAGTTCTCTGGGAAAGGCTCATGTCGGAGGGGGAGGAAATGGCAGAGAAATGCTGAGGGAAAATGTGTGCAATGATTCGGCAGAAGAGCGCGAAGGAAGCAGCTATCAAGTGTATTAGAATCATATTGATATTCATGGAAGCTGCACCGAAGTAGTGATTAATTGACAAGCCATCAAATTATACATTTCGACGAGAAAATGATGTGAGGATGAAAAGTGATTTCTAGTAGTTTTTTCCCCCTCCTCCTCCTCCATCTGCCGCCGCGGCTATCAAACGGAGCCCGCGCGCCACCGATCGCGATATCCATTATAATATCTCCGGCGGTATTGTGGCATGGAAGCAGCGTGATAAAGAGAGACGAGAATAACCAGTAAAATGGTTATGATAGGGGGCGATTTGGCGGCCTCTCTTGATGCATCTTTCGTGACTTTTTCCTCCAAACGCACGCGGAGAAGTGCTAGTCATTAAGACTTTTATTAATTGGCTGTTTTTATCACGTCGACAAAATCTTTCAACAGCTGAAAATCCTCCTCGTTTGATGGGCAGATTGACTACATTATAAAAGAGAGAGAGAGACTCCGACGCTTCTTTGCATAAAAGAACCTCAAAATCACTCGTTTCGATGGCATTAAAATTCTGTACTCCACTTGCTGATGGTTTTCTAGAATAAAAGCCATGTTTATTGAACACGTATTTTGGGTTAATTTCCCCTCGCACTTCAGCATGGGATGTGCGGATCAAGGGGGAGATAATGTGGCTAAAATCTGTACATCACTTCCTGACACTGTCACAATTTATGTGAAGAATCCTCAACACTTCTCAGGAGATCAGACTTCATGAATCTAACCAAACACATTAAAACTCACGTTTTTATACAATATTTTATGATTTTCTTCCGCTAAAATTGTATTTTGCGTATTTTTCTTGATCATAATTCTTAAATAAATTTTCTTTTCTTGTTTCTCACTCAAAATTGCAATAGTTTATTAAATAAAATATTTAGGTTATGTTTGACTTTAGCATTGTTTAGAATTGGACAAAAATTAAATTCTAAGAGGAAAGTAATCAAATCTGTGAGCTAAATATTATATAAATTGCAACACTTTCACTTCCTTAAACTCCTAATAATCTGTACACCACTTCTGGTCATAATATCTCCCCCTTGGTGCGAATGACCCCCAAAATTCAATGAGATGTCCTAAAAATGAAATCTCTCGTCTGTTCGTCATGTCTTTTATCAGTGAAAATGTTGCGACACAAGAATATTTGCTATTTCTCTGCTAAAGCCAATAAAAAAGAAGCTCCAAATGTGCGCAATAAATTTTCTATTAATAACTTTTGAGCACAATAATGTATGGAACATATATTCTTTCACGAAAAATGCCATGTAATGGCCAAAATGGCATACGGCACAGAGACAATGCGCAGTTGAGATCGATTTAAATTTTCATGGGGAAATTGAAGTCATTCCGAGGAAAAGTTTCAGCAATAAAATTGCCATCTCCTTCCTCAAAAATGTGTGTGTTCGGCGATCTCATGTCACAAACTTCCACAGACGTTTAATAAACCCATTTGTCAAGTTCACTGCAATATCCTTTTGATATCTGCTTCCACTGCTGCTCCTTTTATTGCCACTTGGAGATGCTCTAATGGACAAATAGATATTTATTGACTCTTCCACTGCAAACGGGTTAATTTATGGCCCTCGGAATAATTTAATTAAATGCCAAGATTTCTCATTTCCACCAATTTCCAATGGTGGTGTAATGTTGTCATGTGACGGAAAAAGGAACAGGCGGATTTCCACCACTCATCGTTGCGATGGATGGGCGAAACGTTGCAATGCGGAATGAAACTAATTTGGCATTTTTGTTTTAATTTAACCAATTCCACTCGAACGTCGTGTTTGTGCAGCTTCCATGACAATGTAGTCAGTCTGAGTTGTTGCAAAATTGACTGGATGGCGCGGTGAAAAGTTTCACAATGACGAAGGATAAAGTTTTTCCGTGTGTTCTTTTTTTTGTGTCCGTTCGCCCAACGATGGAAAAGTTCTCTCCATGTGAGTGCAATTTCCACGGAGAGTCTCGTGGATATTCTGAAGGCATAACAGAAAAATAAACTTGTGACAAAACAAGAGAGCTTTTTGAAATAGGCTCAAAATTGGGAAACTTTCCTTCTGTGCGAACTGAGAATTTTTGCCTCAATTGGACGCAAAGAATTTCTTCCTTCGCTCATTTGGGAATTGTCATGAGAAAATGCACCCCAAGAAAGTCCTCCTCAGAGAGAGAAAATGCTCAGTGGAATAAATGTCGAGAAAGCACGACTGAAGAGACAATTAAAGTTGAAAATAATGGCATCAACTTCATCTTCAATTATCATCAATTTGAGGCATCTTCTCTCGATCTTCCGCCCAAAAATCGCCTAATCTCACTTCGGAATCTCCGATAAAATTGCGCCCGTCCATAAAGAAAATTACACCAAGACAATGGGATGCTCTTGAGAGCAAACAAACCTAAAGTGGATGTGTTTACATTGGATGTGAATATTATCATTTCCT